TTTGTGAAATTGAAATACCTCAGAGAAAATGGTTGTAACACAAATTACAGTTACATTGCACTGCGGACACACTGTGTTTACATACACTCTCCACAATGCAATAAAACAATAATTCGTGTTATAGTTGATCATTCAGGACATATTCAGCCTGATTTGATAATATTTGTGAACTTAAGGAAACAAAGATATGATAGCAGTGTGAAACTTTGAACCAGCATAACACATTCTAGCAAGAAGTGTGACTTTCTACATTCAAGAATAGTTACCAAAAAGACGGATTACATATTGTCCAGCACAACTAGTTTCAAAATGTAGCATCTTGCATGTACCTTCAGGTGTGGTATCACCAAAATGAACAAGGTCGTTTTAATTTCATTATGGTAATAGACTACCTTTGTTCTCAGCTCCTAACCCTGTTAATTGCTACTCGGATGATGAATAAATAACATTTCTAATTTGAATGACCACTGAATTTTCTTCACTTCTCTTTAAACAAATATTTCAACAGGCATGCAGGATTTAAATGCAGTTAAATTAATTAATACACATTTATATTCAGTCACAACAATATATATAAACAAATAAATGTGTTGCTGCAGGTTTGAAAGAAATCATAGTCCCCGTTACACAAATAACTTGGAAAAAATAAGCCACTACAAAAAAATAAGGCTTTTCATTTAACCTAACAAATTCAGTATTGCCAGTGGGAATGAAGAAATCAAAAATGAGCAAGCAGTCTCTGCAATTTGCAAATGTGGAGATTTTGTTTAGAAAGCTCTGCAGAGAATGATGTACCACTCAGCCCAGAGTTTTCCTTGGAACTATCTATGCTTAAAGCATCTAGGTTAAAATAAGGCAATGGGACAAAAGCTGGGAGGATCTTTTCTGACTTTTAATACATTAGAACAGAGCCTGGAGGCCCTCATCAGAACTAATTAGCTGGACAACTCCAACTTTAAGAGGTTCAGTGGGGGACATCCTTAACTATCCAAATGTAATCCGCAGAGCCGCTGAACTGGCAGTACCCGGAGGCGGCAGGGTTCTGTGCCTCAGCCAGCTCTGCAGATGCCTGGCTAGACCTGCAGGCAAGTTCTCCTCTTGTCTTTGTGTCACCGAATGCCACTCAAGAGCAGGGCAGCTGATATTTGGTCGCATGCTTTCTATGTCAAACTGGAGTAAGAAGTTGAATTCAAAGGTGTTTCAAATTTCTCTGCCATTAAAAAAGAAGTAATTTTTAAAAGGCCATATAATACTACCACTTTCAGGATTGCCAGTCTCAGACTTTTGGAACAAACCTAAGTCTCAGGTCAGAATAATTTTTGGATTCATAATGAGCAGCTATGGTGTTGGTGTCAATTTTGCTCCTTAGGTGACTTTGTTTAGAATGACTGCAGATATAATAAATGAATTTTAGCAAAACTAAGCTCTTCCTGTGTATTTGTTATACTCTGCTGCCATATCTCAGTTTCTGCCCTCCACCTCCATTCCGTATTAGTATTCCATAGCTCAGGGAAATATCACAAAAAGGACTATTGAATTTTGTTATACTAAAATGTCATATCTTGCTCTCTGTTTTGACATTTTCTTGATCAATAAGTTGTCAATGCAAAAAAGACACAGCTATTTAACTCTATGTGTGCAAAGAAAGAATATGAGCTGTTACTGGATTTCTCAAAGGGCAAGCAGTGGGACATGAAGGAAGCAGTCCATGATTGTGGGGAGCCTTAGTAAGACCAAATGGGACAAACAAGGCAGAGATGCCACGCATTTGTAAATGAAGAAAACAAGGTTGAGGAAAATGTTCTTATCATCTAAGGGCTTCTATGGATACTCAAAATGTTTTTCTCTCTTACAATTCAAGATGCGGTGAAAGAGGAGGCAGGTCTGGTCATATCACTATAACGACTAAGCTTTGATGCTTTCTTGCTTCTTACCTGGGTTGTCCATACCCAAATTTCCAAAAACTTCAGACACAGGCAAAACAGACTGTTTGTATAAGACAGAGATATCTGACAACTCAAGGAAATACGTAGAAGGGAAGGCTGTTACGATCCGTGGTCCAAACATCCTCTTCGGTTTCTTTGCTGCTAGCATGATCAGGCAAAAGTCACAGCCAGAGAACATGCTTTTGAGACAAAGCATGATCTTTAAGAGTTAGGTTCTTAGCTACTTTAGATGTCAACATGCACTGGTTTTGGCTGGGATAGAGTTAATTTTCTTCACAGTAGCTAGTACGGGGCCATGTTTTGGATTTGTGCTGGAAACAGTGTTGATAACACAGGTATGTTCTAGTTACTGCTGAGCAGTGCTTACACAGAGTCAAGGCCTTTTCTGCTTCTCACACCACCCCACCAGCAAGTAGGCTGGGGGTGCACAAGAAGTTGGGAGGGAACATAGCCGGGACAGCTGATCCCAACTGACCAAGGGGATATTCCACACCATATGATGTCATGCTCAGCATATAAAGCTGGGGGAAGAAGGAAGGGGGGGACGTTTGGAGTGATGGTGTTTGTCTTCCCAAGTAACCGTTATGTGTGATGGAGCCCTGCTTTCCTGGAGATGGCTG